TAATATGCAAGGTGGGATATAAAATCCCCTGTAGCTAAAAATTACCTGATATAAAACCCTTCCTTAAAAGTGCTAATAAAGTGGGGCATGGTGATGAACTCCTGTAATCTCAGCAGCTCAGAAGGCTGAGGCAGCAGGATCACGAATTCAAAGCCAGCCTCAGCAACAGTGCAGTGCTAAGCAACTCAGTGAGACCCTGTGTCTAAATAAAATACAAAAAAGGACTGAGGATGTGGCTCAATGGCTGAGTGACCCTGACTTTAATTCCTGGTACCAACAAAAATGTTATAATAAAATTGCATATAATGATGGCTATACTACTCTGTGAATATACTAAAAACCATGGAATAGACACTTCAAATAGGTGAATAGTATGGCATGTGACTTATTTCTCAATAAAGCTGATATTAACAGAACCACTGTTATGCCTATAATATGAAAGCTCTTGTTTACAAAGTCTAGCTATAGAGAATTATCAAGGTAAAATACCAGTGTTACTAATCAGAATGTAATAAGCAAGAATAAACAATGAAAAAGTCATGTTTACCACTTTGAGTCCTGAAATCATACAAATATTAACCAAAAAATTCCTACTGGAAGCTAAGTTGAACGCTGCCTATTTTTTTCAGTCCAAAAGAGTATTTCCTTTTTTTCCCCTTTGCTTTTTTGTTTCATTTTGTTTCCGTTTTGCTTTTTGTTCTTCCAGGGGACAGCATTTCTTGATAAGGTACACTTTCCTGTTTGGCACTCCACAGCGTATTGTGTGAAATTTTAATCATCAGAAAGGTAAGGTATGGGGCTGAGGATGTGGCTCAAGTGGTAGAGCACTTGCCTAGCATGTGTGAGGCATTGGGTTCGATTCTCAGCACCACATAAAAATAAAATAAAGATATTGTGTCCACCTGAAACTAAAAAAAAATAAATATTAAAAAAAGAAAGGTAATGTATGATACACAAATCAAGGTAACAGATCAATAGAGAACTCAGAAATAGACCATGCAACTATGCCTAAGTAATTTTTTTATAAAGGTACAAAAGCAATTCAATGAGGGAAGAAGTGTCTTTTCAACATTGTGCTGAGACAATTAGACATCTATAGGCAAAGGAGAAAAATTATTTTCAACCTAAACTTCATATCTTATTCAGAAAAGCTGAAAAGAGATTGCAGATTTACATGTATAAAGAAAACTTATAAAACTTAGAATAAAGCATAGAAAATCTTCAGGACATGGGTCATATGAAATCCTCTTGGACTTGACATCAAAAGTGTAAGAAATACAAGAAAAACTTTGTAAGTGGACCATGTCAAAATTTAAAACTTCAGCCAGGTGTGCTGGCACATACTTGGTAATTCCAGCAATGTGGGAGGCTGAGGCAGGAGGATCACAATTTTGAGGCCAGCCTGGTCAACTTAGTGAGACCCTGTCTCAAAATAAAAAGTACTGGGGATATAGCTCAGTGGTAGAGCACCCCTGGGTTCAGTCCTCAATATTGGAAAAAAAAATTAAAACTTTTACTTTGTGAAGTCCCTGTTAAGAGAATGAAAACATAACCTGCAGAATAGGGAGAAGTATTTAAAACCACTGTTGCAACAAAAGATTCATATCTAGGGGCTGGGGGTGTGGCTCAAGTGGTAGCGCGCTCCCTGGCATGCATGAGGCACTGGGTTCGATTCTCAGCACCACATAAAAATAAAAATAAAGATATTGTGTCCACCTAAAACTAAAAAAAAAAAGATTCATATCTAGAATATATTCAAAAGTCTGCCAACTCAACATCAAAAGAACAAATAATCCATTTAGAAAATGGGTATAAAATATATGGATTGCAGGGCTGGGGTTGTGCCTCAGTGGTAGAGCACTTGCCTAGCATGTGTGAGGCACTAGGTTCAATTCTCAGCACCACATATCAATAAATAAAATAAATGTCCATTGACAACTAAAAAATATTTTAAAATAAAAGATATATGGATTGCAGATGAGCACATGAAAACATGTTCAATGATATATGTTACATCTGCACATGTAACAAAACGACTAAAATAATAAATAGTGACAACATTAAGTACTGACAAGGATGTAGGGAAACTGATCACTCACACATTGCTGGGGGGGATGTAAAATGACACAGTCACTCTGGAAACAGTTTGGCAACTTCTTACAAAACTAAACATGCAACTGTCATATGATCTAGCCATTGCTCTTTTGGGCGTTTATTCCAGAAAAAATGAAAAACAACCTACACACATACAAAAAAAACCTATATATAAGTATTCATAGCAGTTTTATTCATAATAGCCAATAGGTAGAAAAGATCCAAATGTCCTTTAATGGAGTGAACAGTTAAACAAACTGGTATATCCACACTATAGAATTCTACTCAGCAATAAGAGTAGAATTGGAATTCTACTCAACAATTTTTTTTTCAGTGCTAGAGGTAGAACCCAGAGCCTCATGTGACCTAGGCAAATGGTCTACCACTGAGTTATGCCCCCAAATGAGGAACAAACTGTGGACATAACACCACAACCTGGATGAGTCTCAAGGGAATTATGCTGAGTGAAAAAAGCAAATCTCAAAAGGTTACATACATATGATTCCATTTATGTAACAGTCTTAAAATAACAACATTGTAAAAAAGGAAGAGATTAGTGTTTGTCAGGGTTAAGGAATGTGGGAGAGGGGTGGAGGCAGCTATAGAAGGGAAGCACAAGCCAGTCTCCTGGTAATGTAACTATTCTTTATCTCTATTATCTTGATTGTGGTGGGGGTTGCACAAAATCTGCACAGGTGATAAAATTGTAAAGAATCTCTCTCTCTCTCTCTCTCTCTCTCTCTCTCTCTCTCTCTCTCTCTCTCTTTCTCACACACACATATACAAGTGCATGTAAGTGAAATCTCAATAAGCTCTGTGAATTGTACCAATGTCAGTTTTCTGGTTTTGATACTGTACTATAGTGATGCAAGATGTTACCACTGGGTAAACCTGGTGAAAGGTACATTGGACCTTCCTGTTCATTTTGTTTTTGCAACTTCAATCTATATTTATTTCAAAATAAATAGTTTTCTTTAAAAAGCTAGTGCTTATGATTTCTCGTGTATGTGTATTAACCAATCAAATTAAATATGTGCAGTTTAGTGTACTTCAATTATTCTTCAATAAAATTTGGAATAAGGATAAATAAAGGTTAATGCTTCACATCATAACTGCTTATGTAAACATCTTTACTCTATCCCCATATCTATTAAGTTATTGAAAGCAAAAATCAATAGACACTCCAGGTCCAATTACATCTGCTTATATCACCCACCCAAAATGTGCACAGAACAATAAAATAACTTTTTTCTTTATAAAGCAAAAATAAAACTTGAAACAAAATCTTTATATGGGGCTACTAACCACTGCAGAGAGCTGAGAAAGTGTATTTTAATGCATTCTTATGACAACACCATATTCTACCTCCTTTTCTTTTGCTCTCCCCATTTGACATAGACTCCACTATAACTAAGTTATAAGTAATAAGTTTTTTTTTAATTTTTTTTAGTTGTAGATGGACACAATATCTTTATTTTACTTTTTTTATATTTATGTGGTGCCAAAAATTGAACTCAGTGCCTCATGCATGCTAGGCAAGCGGTCTACCACTGAGCTACAACCTGGGACCCACAAGTAATCAATTCTAAGAATATTCATTTAAAAAGAAGATTTAATAATAAGATCAGCTGTATAACCTTATAAGCAAATGATCTAACTCATTCTGCAAACATTATATGTCCAAGATTTTTCAGAAGGTCTTTTCAGAGTCTTAATAGAAATCAAAGCTAAAAAAAAGGTGCAAGTAAGATAAAACATCAGCAACAAAATGGATCTTAGTAATTCATCTAGCTTCTATGCTATTAATGGTATTGCTCTACAAAATATGACCTAGAATGTCTAACTATAATTTATAGACCTCATTATATAGCTCTCTTTAGATTGTTTAACCTCCAAATGCATAATTTATATGCTCCTGTCACTGCTGTTGACTTTTTAAAAGTAATCATAATCTTTAAATACAATCAATAATATTTTCAGAATTAAATTTCAAATTACATAAAAATAAGCAAACAATAGTTTAAAGTCTGTGCTACTTCTAACATGAAACAATTTCTATAACTGTAACTATTAAGTCCAGACCTAGAAAAACTTAAAGAACAGAGTCCTCCCAAAACATTACTCACTCACAAATCAAAACCTTACTAGATGAAAACCACTTTTCAGTAAATCTGAATATAAAATGAATTTAAATAGAAAAACAAAATAAACTGTTTATTATCTTAAATTATCTTGTTTATTATCTTAAATACTCATAGTAATACTTACATATATACCTGGCATTTTAATGAAAATCAAAACTGATCATATTTTTGCTTTATTATAAGAAATAAAGTAAAAACAAAGGGAACAACAACCATTTTTTTTCTAAAAAGTACATCAATATTGCTATTCTCAAATGATAGAGCATACTTAATCTTAATCATATGGTAACTGGTCAGTACTAAACAAATTGCTTTAATTCATTACAAACTTTTATATAAACCTGTTTTTTCCATGCTAGAAATTAGGCTATAACTCCCAAAAGATATTTTTAAAAGTCTAAAGTATAGTAAATTCATAAGTTGCTTTGCTTATAATTAAGTATAGAACTTTCTAATTCTTAAACATTGGTTTCATTTTGAAAGCCCTTTTTTCATTTTTCCTCTTAGTTTTATTACAAATTATACTTCTTATTATATCCAGGGCTTTTGTTCATTATCTTTAAAAACTTAAGGCATATTTTATTTTATTTTTAAAATATTTTTATTAGTTATTGATGGACCTTTATTATTTATTTAATTGCTTATATGTGGTGCTAAGAATCAAACCCAGTGCCTCACACATGCTAGGCAAGCACTCTGCCACTGAGCCATAACCCCAGCCCCTTAAGGCATTTTTTAGAACAATTGTCATGCTACACTTACCTATTATATTCATAGGCAGATTTCAGTGGACCCAGTCTGCTTACAAATAGTTCCACTTATGACTGTTAAGAAGGAAAAAGAACATTCATTACTAACACACAGTAAAATGAGGTACCACTTGCAAAATACATAATGAAGCAACTGAAAGGTAATTAGCATACTGCTACCATAATTTACAACTATCATGATGAATTTATAATTTAGTGTAGTTATAAATGTGTAAGTTATAACTTGGGAGTTATAAATTTTTAACACTGTATAGCTATAAATTCTTAATACTTCATTTATGAAATGAAATCTTTAGGTTCTCTGGCTACATAAATTTTTCAGATACCTCCACCATTCTTAACTTTTTAAAAAAATTATAAAATCATTTTAGAATATGATAAAAATTTATGGCCTTCTCTCCCCAGAAACACACACATATTGCACAAATTCTCTGTTCACTTTTAAGAGGCTTCATTTGGGCCCCTGGGGTGCATGGAACTCACGTTAAGGACTTGAGATAAAGCTATCTATATAAAGTGCTTTCCTTGTATTACTTCAACTATTTTCATAAGATTCCTTCTAAAATATACTTTATTCTTTCCCATCCTCAACAAAGAGTAATGATCACAATTTGACCTTCCTTGAAAACTTGGAGTCATTTTGGACACCAATCATTGTACCTGCTTTGACTCTATAACATTCTTGGGATCAAAAAAGATTAGAAGAGCTGTTTGCCCCCAAATTAAATGCCCATAGATGACTTCCCACATTCCTTTATCCCCATCAAAGAGCTTAAACTTCTTTGTAAAGTTCTTATGTCTATTTCATTTTGGTTTGTCAGCTATTATTGTCTCCTCCTCCTCATTCTCTCCCCTCTTTCTCTCCCTAATCTGTTTGAGAGCAGGCCTTCCAACTGTGGAATAAATAACCAGATTTGTTTCTAACCTGAAAGAGTATCTGAGAGCAAGAGATTTAGTGCATGAACATTATGACATCTATTCTGACTCTTCATGGGACATTTTAGCTTACTTCTGTAGATTTCAACTATATTCCTGACAGTTTAACAGATCAGAAATTTTAAACCACTAAAACAGCACACTTAGATAAATGCATTATCCTTTCTCAAAATTCCATATGCAACTTAGAAAAATAAACATCTGCTATAAGCTTTACCATATGGTTAGATTTTTTAAAAGAAGAGAATATAGAAAAATATCAAGTTTGGGAACAAATATAAATAGCCTTACTATGACTTTGTAAAATGAAAGAATTGTATCTGCATTTAGAGCAGTCTAATCAAAAATTTGCAACTGCAACATAAATCAGTTATAGCATTGCCAGGTGTGGTGGAGGCTGAAGCAGGAGGATTGCAAGTTCAAAGCCAGCCTCAGCAAGTTAGAGATACCCTAAGAAACTTAGCAAGACCCTGTCTCTAAATAAAAATATAAAATGATTGAGGCTATGGCTCAGTGGATAAGCACCTCTGGGTTCAATCGCTGGTATTCCCTCCCCCCAAAATCCATTATAGTTTTATAAATGTGAACAGGCAAAAGTTTCTAAAAGGAGCCAAGAATGGTGGCTTACACCTGTTATCCCAGCTACTTGGGAAGCTGAGTTAGAAGGGTAGCAAGTTCAAGGAAACCAAAGTCAATATAGCAAGACCCTGGCTCAACATAAAAAAATTAAAAAGGGTGAGAATGTAGCTCAGTGGTAGAGTGCCCCTCGGTTCAATCTCTAGTACCAAAAAAAAAAAAAATGTTTAGAGTACCAAAATTGACAAAGTACTACTAGAAACTAACATATCATTTAAACAATATTTTAACATGCACCAGGGCTTACTTAAAAGAAACTTGATGATTTCTCAAATCAAGTGCAGTAAAGATTATTGTTCAATAAATGGTGTTATGACAATCGGTCAGCACTCTGAAAAAAACCGTGTAAGTTTGACCCTTAATTTAGACATTACACAAAGAAATATTAATTTTACTTAAATGATAAAAACTCAAACTGAAAAATACCATGTGAGAACTACTTTGTAATCTTGGCTAGCATGGGAAAGGTTTTAAAAATAGAACACAATACTTAGAAGCGATAGAAAACTTGACAGATTAAAATTAAAATCAGATTTCTAAATGGTAAAAAAATGCAAAACCAAAAGACAACTGACAAACTTGAAAAAAGCATTTGTCACATGTCACAGACAAGGGACTGATTTCCTGACTTATGAGTTCTTACAATCTTTTCATATGAAAAGATTTTCAATCTTATTCCTAATAAAGCAATGCAAATTAAAACCACAGTGCACAATTATTCACCACTTAAATTGTCAAAGATCTAAAAGTTTCATAAACCTTTGTTGTCAAGCTGTGAAGAAACAGGTACTCTCACACTGTTGGTGGGAGTGTAAATTAGTATAAGGTACTTAGAGAACAATTTGGCATTGAGATTGTTAAATGTATGTATTCTTTGACCCAGCAATTCCATTCCCAGGAACTTATTCTACAGAATAATTTCACATGCAGCAACATTTGACAAGATCAAAGGACAGATATAAGTGAAATAGATAAATAATAGATTAAGTAAAACAATTATAGTGCATCCATGATGTAGTGCTATGCAGCCATTATTAAAAAGAATGAGGATGAGCTGTACGTAGTAGCGCATACTTGTAAACCCAGTGACTCTGGAGGCCGAGGCAGGAAGATCACAAGTTTGAGGCTAGCCTCAGCAATTTAGTGAAGCTCTCAGCAACATAGAGAGGCTGTGTCTCAAAGTCAAAAATAAAAATAGTTGGGGATGTAACTCAGAGGTAAAGTGCCCCTGGATTCACTCAACAGTAACCCCCCCAAAAATGAGGATTTTTCTCTATGATATAAAACAATCTTCGACCTCTGTTGTTAAATGAGTAAAGTACATTAAGATGAGAATAGTGTTACCATTTTTGTAAAAAAAAAAAAAAGGAGGAAGAAATTTTATATTCATAAAATTCCCAGAAGGATGCACAAGAAACTGACAATATTGATATCTTCCAGGGAGAGCTGCTGTGTACCTAAAGGATCAAGGTAGATGAGAGAAAAACCTCTCATCTGCCTGTGTCCTAGCATATCATTCTAAATGTAATCATCACAAGATGGATGGATATTTTTGAAGACTTCAATACATATTTCAACTACTTTTCGATAACTTGAAGTTTAACCATTAAATCAAGTTAAATGGGGCTGGGGTGGTGGCTCAGTGGTAGAGCATTTGCCTAGCATATGTGAGGCACTGGGTTCAATTCTCAGCACCACATATAAATAAATGAATAAAATAAAGGTCCAAGATTTTTAAAAAAAAAAAAAAAAAAAAAAAAAAAAAAAAAAAAAAAAAAAAAAAAAAAAAAATCAAGTTAAATGCCATCACAAGGGAGGAAGCAGACAACTCTAAGAGGGACATTCCTTCCACAGAACAAAACAGACTGATCCCTTTTATAAGTCAGTGTCATGAAAACATATAGGAAAGGGACCATGTTTGATTAAAAAGAACCATAAGAATAACAACCACATGCAATCTGTAGTCCTAGATTGGGGAATGCTGACTATGAACTGGGTAATAGATGCGACAAAGATGTACTGACATGGAAAAATGGAGTTGTTGAAAGAAAATGTCTGCTTACAAAATAACATGCATACTTTGATTTTATTTTTATAAAAAATGCATGTGGACTCTCATTCATTGCTTATGGGAATGCAAAATGGTACAGCTAGTTTGGAAGACAGTTTGGACATTTCTTACAAAAGTGGACATACTTTATCATACAAGCCAGCAACTGGGTTCATTGGTATTTACCTAAATGAGCTGGAAACTCATGTGTATGCAAAAACCTGCACATGAATATTTATAGCAGCTTGATTCATATTTGCCAAAACTTGAAAGTAATCATCATGTCCTTCAGTGGGTGAACAAATAAACTGGTACCCCGAGACAATGAAGTATTTTGGGGTAGTATAAAGAAATGAGCTATTAAACATGAAAAGACATGGAGGAAACATAAATGCACATTATTAAGTGAAAGAAGCCAATCTTAAAAGGCTATATACTGTATAGTTCCAAGTATATGACATTCTGGAAAAGGCAAAACCATGGAGAAAGTTAAAAGATCAGTGGTTGTCAGGGGTTAGTGGGGAGGGAGAGATGAACAGGAGAAGCATAGAGGATTTTGGTGGCAGTGAAACTATTCTGTATGCTATAATGGTAGATACACATCATTATACACGTTTCCAAACCCATAGAATGTTTAACACCAAGAGTGAACCTTAAAGTAAACTCTGGACTTTGGGTGACAATGATGTGTCAATGTACATATAATGATTGTAACAAATGTACCACCCTGGTACATTATGTCAACGGTGGCTAGAGTTGGGGGAAGGGCAGTTGATACATGAGAGCTTCCTATACTTTCTGCTTCATTTTGCTGTGAATCTGAAACTCTTTTAAAAAATAAAGTCCAAGCCAGGCACAGTGGTGAATGCCTATAATCCCAGTGACTTGGAAGGCTGAGGCAGCATGATTGAAAGTTTGAAGCCAGCCTGGGCAACTTAGCAAGACCCTGTCTCAAAATAAAAGTAAAAAAGGGCTGAGGGCATAGTTCAGTGCTAGAGCACTTGCCTACCATATGCAAGGCAATGGGTTCAATCCTCTAAAAAATAATAATTAAAATAAAAATAAATACATTTTAAAAATAAAATATAAATCTACGAAAAATGCAGGTGTGCATGAACATGTATAGAAAAACCCTAGAATATATGTTTAAATAACAGCAGTGGGATGGGGATATAGCTCAGTTGGTAGAGTGCTTTCCTGGCATGCATAAGGCTCTGGGTTCAATCCCCAGCACCACAAAAAAATTAAAAAAAGATAACAGCAGTGATAATTTTCTAGATATTAATTTTTTTTAATTTTGCCTATCCACATTTTCTAAAGTTCTACCATGAATATTAGTGCTTTTATACCATAAAAATTTTAATTTTTTGTTGTTGTAGATGGACACAGTACCTTTATTTTATTTACTTATTTATTTATTTTTAATGTGGTGCTGAGGATTAAACCCAGTGCCTCACGCGTACTAGGCTAGTACTCTACCACTGAGCCACAACCCCGGCCTCCCCCAATAAAATTTTTTTAAATTTATTTTAAAATTTATTTTAGACTTATTTTTAAATCTTAGGTGGACACAATATCTTCATTTTACATTTATGTGGTGCTGAGGATCAAACCCAGGGCCTCGTGCTTGCTAGTTGAGCACTCTAACACTGAGCCACAACCCCAGCCCCACCATAAGTTTTTTTTAAAAAATGAAAACAAATCAGGGAATAGCTTACTACTGAATAAGAAAAGTGTGGTGTGTAAAACATACAAATGAGGGCTGGGGATATAGCTCAGTTGGTAGAGTGCTTGCCTAGCATGCACAAAGTCCTGGGTTCAATCCCCAGCACCACATACACACACACCTCCCCCCCAAAAAAAACATACAAATGTGAGACTCACTAAAGGACAAAAGGTGCAATGTCAGAAAAAAAAAATGGAACACATTCGAAGATGAGAGTAAATGCCTAAAAAGAAAAGAGCTTACAGGAAAAGAAATTCCAGATATTTGTTATGATTAAACATTGTGTTTCCTTGCTAGGAAGTATGCTGAAATAAAGAATAAAAAACCAGGACTAGACACCAATGGTCAGGGAAAAGACAAATATAAGAACACCATTTCTTACATATATTTGGCAGGATGTTGCCTCAAAACACTACTGGCAACACTTCTCAGAGAAAAAGGCAAAATCTGGGTGTCAACAGCAAACACGCAGCACCTAGACCAGGAGGGGTCTTTAAAATCTCCTCAAACTGAGTTGGAGGTAGTGGTGCAAGCCTGTAATCTCAGACACGGGAGAAGTTGAGGCAGGAAGATCAGGCAATTTAGTGAGTCCTTGTCTCAAAAAGGGCTGGGGGTGTACACACAAATTGGAACCTTCAAGTTGGCTAAGTCTGTTTTCAAACCACACTCTGGGAGGTTCCCACCTGGTACTGCATTTGTTGTATCTTCTACCAGAACACTCTCCCTCACACTAGATTAGGTAAGGAGAGGTCAGAAATTAATTCTTTTGGGCTTGGGATATGGCTCAGGTGTGGCTCAGTGCTCAAGCACCCCTGAGTTCAATCCCTGGTCCAAAATAATAATAATAATAATAATAATAATAATAATAATAATAATAATAATAATAATAATTCTTTTGACTTGATTGCTCACCCTCCCCTCAAAAATTCTTTTCCAGTCAGTTTACAATTAAGAGAACAAGGCTGCAGGGAGGTGGTACATGCCTGCAATCCCAGTGATTTAGGAGGCTGAGACAGGTGGATCACGGGTTCAAAACAACCTCAGAAATTTATGGAAGCCCTAAGCAACTCAAGGAGACCCTGTCTCTGAATAAAATACAAAATAGAGCTGGGGATGTGGCTCAGTGGTTGAGAGCCCCTGAGTTCAAGCTCCAGTACTGAGGGGGGCGGGATAAGGAGAAGGAAAGGAAGAAACCAAGGAAAGAAACCAAGAAATTACAGATGGCACATTCCTGCAATCCCAGCAGTTCAGGAGGGTGAGGCAGGAGGCTCATAAATTCAAAGCTAGCCTCAGAAACTTATTGAAGCCCTAAGCAACTCAGGGACACGTTGTCACTATTTTTAAAATTATTAAAAATAAAAAAATGTGACTCAGTAATCAATTGCCCCTGGATTCAATCCCTGTTGAGGAGGAGGAGGAGGAGGAGGAGGAGGAGGAGGCGGAGGAGAAAGAAAGAAAAGGAAAGAAAAGGAATAGAAAAACAACATTTTTGGGGATTGGGGATATCACAGAAGAGGAATTGTGCCAGAAATCCCTGGCTAAAGAACACTAATAATGATAACAGTTACCATTTACTGAAAGCTTAGTATGTATCATTGTAAGTGTTCTCTATACATTCTCTCATTTTATTCTTATCAGTCTCTAGAGTTAAACAATATTATCTTGGTGTTTGCTGAGCCCAAAGTGGATCAGGAAGAATCAGGGAGACAGAAGTGTGAAACCATAGGGGTGAGGTGTGACAGAAACAATAGGGATGTATCTACAAAGACCACAATGAGTGTGTTGTCCAGAAAGGGAGATGGTATAAGGGGAACTAGAAGGAGGGGGTGGAGGGAGGAGGAAGGTTTCAGACGGTGAGAGGCAGAAGAAAGATGGGGGAGGGGGGGCTACTGCAGGAAAAGAGGAACTAAACAGAGGTGAGGAGCAGCCAATGGCGGGGGCGGAGCAGGGTGGGGGATTGAGAGGGAGATGGAGAAGCACAGGGGAAGGAACTAAAGAGCCCAAAGAAGGGAGGATGAGAGGAGCGAAAGGAAGGGGAAGAGGATGAACCCTACAGGGAATTGAAAAGAAAAAGGGAACCAAAAGGGAGCCAGAAAACCAGCTGAGGACAAGGAGAAACAGCATAGGGCGGGGAAGGGGGCAAGATGAAGGGGAGGAGCTAAGAGGGAGTTGGCTGAAGGAAAGGAAGGAGTGGGGTGGGAGGGTAAGAGTCAAGATAGAGAAGAGGCGGAGCCCAGCGGGAGGGGAGGAGCCTAGAGGGGTGGATCGGTAAGGGAGGAGGAAGGGAAGGAGCTGAGAGTGAGGGAATTGAACCCACAGAATGAGAAGGGAGGAGCTGTGAGGGACTCGGAGATGCCAAAAGGGAGGGAAAGAAGATCAAAGAAAAGGAGATCCGGATTCGCTAAGTGGGAGGATCAGAGATTAAGATACCCTGAGACACACCCACCGAGAGAGCGCTGGCATTCCTGATCCCCGGCCATGAGCTCTCAACCCTGGTCTAACCTCCATTCCCCTACCCGAAACCTTCCCCTCGCATATCGCTCCTTCCCTCTTGACCTCACCTTGCAGGATGCGGTCTCTAGGTCAGTCTCGCAGAAGTTGACTAGGGGCAGTCCGGCAAGGTAGAAAGCTGTGCAGCAGCAACTCGAAGTCCCGGAAACGGCCGCAGCCCCAGTAGCCACCTCAGCCCGGAGAGGGCGGATCAGGGGTGGGTTCCCACGCGGAACCACGAGTATTGATTTCAGGGGCCGGTCCAAGTGCTCAGGGACCAGCACCCTGAACCAGATCAGAACCAGTTAGAAGGGAGGAGCAGAAATGATAAGAGCTGTAGACAGGAAAGAGCAGAGACAGACTGGTAGGACCACAACTCCTGGGAAGAACGCATACACAGGAGTAGACATTGGTTTAAAATCCGGTTGCCAGGGTGTGTGGCGGGGAGTTGTGAGCACGCAGAGTGCGCATGCGTGGGGATCCCCACTGCGCCTGACACCCCTGCCATCTCCCCACTTCACGCCTGACATTTTCCCGCGGTTCTGGCAATCCTTCGTGCGGTATCTCACAACCTTGCTGGGCTCAGGGGAGCGGGGACGGTAGGAAGGGAAACGAAGAGGTCTCAACATCACAGAGTCTGGCCTTTTCTAAAGGTTGCCACTCTGTCTCAAACTAGCAGTGTTACCGCGCCCACCCGCATCTTCATTTCTGCCTACAGGGAATGGGGGTTGTGGGAGTGAATTCCAAGGTCAAGCGGTCCAAGTCCGGGGGCAGCCACTCCGAATTTTATGGTCTACAAGTTCAAATGAACACCGGGTTTGGAAGAAAAGAAAATGTCGAAATTCCCAGTAATTTTTATACTATTAGCACAGGAATGATAATGTTTTAAGTTTTTTAAAAACGTTATTAGTAATATTACCTGTTTTTTAATGCAGCTACTAGAAAATTTAAAATCACACGTATGGCTTACATTATATTTCTATTGGACAGCGCTGGATTGGGGAAGGAAGGAAAATAGAAGTAAAAGGGAGGAGGAGGATGGGGTCTGTTCTAGGGTATTGGAAGAAGTCTTTCTCAGCAGCGGGAATCTTATTTTGCCACCTCTGTAAGAATCCATGTCGCCCTTACCTTCTGCTCTTTGTCTTATAAGGCCAAGTGCTTGGGTTTGGACCAAGAGGTATCATAGGACAAAGATAGTAGAAAAGCTTAATTATTTTCCCTCCTTGTGCTTCAAGAGCTCTGGAGAACAAGAGGTCATTTGTTTAGGCTGAGACGTGTGCGCCTCGCCAAGTGCCTTTCTGTCCAAGTTCCTTTCTCAAGAGGTCTGCTTCTTCTGGTGATTGGCAGGAGGCGATTCAAGACAGAACAAAGGCAGCGAGCGAGCCCTTAGCTGAGGCGTGTAGAAATTTAGAGAGTTAACTCTTGGACTAGCCGCATAGGAATAGTTGTACGAGAAATGAAAGAGAATGTACGAACAATCAGAAATAGGGGAGTTGTGAGAATGAAAAGATTGAACTTGACTAAAAGAATTGGACTATCCCATGTAAAGATTCAGCGTCAGAATAGCAGGATTAGAAGGGCACCGCCTTTGTGAAGAGGAACGGAAAAAGGGAGAATACAAAGCTTGAGATGGGTAACGGTTGGAAGTAACCAGAGCTTGAATAACAATCTTGCGTTTCACTGCTGCATAACCGCTGCTCCCTGTTCTGCTTTTGAATGAAAAAGTGTATATATTAAAATAAAAGGAAGGCTCCGCCAGCCTCCCAGGCCTGGGCTGCTGGGACCAAGTAAGTACACCTACAGGTGACTGCAGGGACTGCATTTTATAGCATTTCAACCACTTTTACAAGAGGAAGCCCTCCTAGTGCCACCCGTATATCACTGTGTAATTATCACCAGCTCCAGCCACTTACTGAGCACCAAGCTGAGCCAGGAGAAGAAACTGAGACTGTGGGCACTATTCACATAAATGATGCCACCATAGGCTACTCAGCTGATGTGGAAAACAAGAACCACCTTTTAAAAGTGTGGTGGTCCATGATACCATATTCTGTGTGTAGCGGGGGTCTCTAGGCAACTTATGAAGTCCCTATCTCAAAATAAAATAAAAAGGTCTGGCATTGTTGCTCAGTGGTGGAGCACCCATGGGTTCAATCCCCAGTTCAATCCCCAGTACCAAAATCACAAGAAGATATGGTCAAAAGACCAAAGTAAATGTAAATAACAAGGGTAATGCCCACTCCCTCTTTTGATGTAACCATAGAGTTTGCAAAGTTCTTTCTCATCCATTGTTTCATATGATCCTTCCAGTGAAGCAGGTTAGTTACTGTTCTCTCCATTTGGAAGAAGGGTATTGGAGATTGCACCCAGGAGCATTTTACCACTGAGCTACAATCTTAGTTCTTCTTTTTTTTTTTTAATATTTTTAGTTGTCAATGGAACTTTTATTTTTATTTATTTGTATGCAGTGCTGAGAATTGAACCCAGTGCCTCACACATGCTAGGTAAGCACTCTACCACTGAGCCAAAATCCCAGCCCCCAATCTCAGTTCTTTTTATTTTTTTAATTTTGAAACAGGGTTGTTTCTCACTAAGTTGCTGAAGCTGACCTGGAACTTGCAATTCTCCTGCCTCAACCCTCTGAATCACTGGAATTACAAGTGTGTGCCACTATGCCCAGCATAATCTCTCCATTTTATGTGAAGCAACTGAGGCCAAGAAAACAGAACCTAATTTGCCTGTCTTAGATCATACAATTAATAGAAAGATATTGACAGTAAAAGCAAGTGGTAAAATAAAAAAGACAAACTTCTTTTATATATCTCTAATTTGTCACTTATCACTGTGTTTTATAATTTTGTCTGCCTCCCCATTAGTCAGTCTTAACTCTGGACCTCCTTTTTTCCATACCTTCTACTTTAATAGAGCAAGGCAGCTACTGAAATAGCTTGATTTCACATATTCAACATTTAGAGAGGTATGTATTCCATCTGGGTAATTATTCCTGCCATTTATATACTCTGATATGGTGAGAGAAATGTTTTATATTTTCCCTTAGAGTGTAAATTTTGGACTGTGAATCAACTTTTTATGGAAAGAGTATACACATTTATTACAGGTTTATAAATACCAAATTTTTCATAAGGATAATCAAACTGTTAACAAAATACAAAATCCTAATTATGTACAACAATCTTGTTCTAAGTCAGCAGTCTTTTGTCCTTCCTTGCCTTTCAAATTTAACCTTGACCGTAAGATTTTCTCTTCTAAAACCTATCTATCTACATTTATCTTGGTGTCTAAGCCTGTAGCTGTGCCATTTTATATTAGTCTCCAGGTCCCTGCTGTCCTGTCCTTCACACTGTTAATAGACAGGGCTGGGGCTGTAGCTCAGTGGCTGAATGCTTGCCTAGCATGTGTGAGGCACTGGGTTTGATCCTTAGCACTATATACAAATAAAATAAAAGAATCTGTCCAGCTACAACTACAAAAAGATTTTTTTTTAAAAGACAGTTTTTTTTCTTTTTAAAATTATTTTTTTAATTTATACATGACAGTAGAATGTATTTTGACATAGCATACATACATGGAGTATAACTGCCCATTCTTGTGGTTGTACCTGATGGGGAGTTACACTGGTCGTGTACTTATTTATGAACATAGGAAAGTTATGTCCAATTCATTCTACTGCATTTCATATTCCCATCCCATCCCATCCCCACTTCCTTCCCCCATCCCCCCACCTCCTCTTCAATCTGGTCATGCACTCCTCCCCCTCCCCCACACCCTGCTGTATATTGTGAGTCAGCATCTGTCTATCAGAGAGAACATTCAGTCTTTTTTTTTTTTTTGGGGGGGGGGGATTGGCTTATTTCACTTAGCATAATAGTCTCCAGTTCCATCCATCTACCAGCAAATGCCACAGTTTCATTCTTCATGGCTGAGTAATAGTCCATTGTGTATATGTACCACAGTTTATTTATCCATTCATCTATTCAAGGGCATCTAGGTTGGTTCCAAAGCTTAGCTATTGTGAATTGAGCTGCTGTGACATTGATGTGGCTGCATCACTGTAGTATACTGATTTCTAAGTCCTTTGGGTATAGACTAAGGAGTAGGATAGCTGGGCCAAATGGTGATTCCATTCCAAGTTTTCTAAGGAATCTCCATGCTGCTTTCCATAGTGGTTGCACCAATCTGCAGTCCCACCATCAATGTATGAGTGTCCAAAAGATAGGGTTTTTTTTTTTGTTTTTTTTTTAAAAAAAGGATAAATTGGGGCTGGGGTTGTGGTTCAGTGGCAGAGCACTTGCCTGGTATGTGTGAGGCACTGAGTTCAATCCTCAGCACCACTTATAAATAAATAAAAAATAAAGGTATATAAACAACTAAAAAATATTTTAAAAAATAAATAAAAAAGGATAAATCATGACTGTCATCAAATATAAAAATGAGCTAATGCTAAAGATTATATTTAGTTCATGTGGGAACTAGGCCAATTTCATAACTACTTCAAAGGAGAATCCAAAGAAACCCATTAATAGATAAGGAATAATGACAAGGATGTGCAAATGGAGATAAAACTAGTAGAACCTAACATAATTTTCAACCACATCGAAGCTCAACCAGAACTTTTAGAGTCTACAAGTTCATATCCGATAATTATTTCACATTGTAATCAGTTATTACAGAGTTATAGAATAGTTTTTATTCAATCAACAAAACTGAGAGATATCCTCTAGAACCTGACAATGCATAAGATTCCCACCGAAGCACAAGTTTTTCCTCTAACAGAAAATCATCTCTCTTGGGCTATCTACTCCCCAGATAAAGGGTAAGCTCCTTAAAGGCAGCAAAAATATTTTATTGATAAATGTAAAACCATATTTTATCATTGAGATATCCAATTAAAATAATTACTACTTTCCATTTGTAACAAACCAGCAAGACCCTGGCTTGTTCTAAAAAGTGCAGGCATTGGAGCTGTATTAGTGGCTCTGCCACTTAAGGCCTGTGACATCTTGAGCAAGTTCCTCAAAAACTTTATGCCTCAGTTTCTTCATCTGTAGATGGGAATTATTATAGTTTGGGTCTAAAGTGTCTTCCAAAATTTCATGTATTAAGGGTTTGGTTGCCAGTCTATAGTAGAAGGAAATTAGATCATTTGGGGTGACTTACAGAGACCTTGTCTCAAAATAAAAATAAAAATAAAACACCTGCCAAGTACCTCAGAATGTGACTGTATTTGAAGTAAGGTTTGTTTGTTTGCTTTTATTGTACTAGGGATTGAATTCAGGAATGCTTTGCCACAGAGCTACATCCCCAGCTGTTTTCATTTTTTATTTTAAGACAGGGTCTCGGGCTGGGGATGTGGCTCAAGTGGTAGCACCCTCACCTGGCATGCCTGCAGCCTGGGTTCGATCCTCAGCACCACATACAAAGATG